CTTTCTGCAATTGAAGCATCCCAAAACATTTGCCGGTTAAATAAAAGATAAAAATATATTTTATTGATAAGCTGAGTTTATGAATTAGTAAAGATAATATATAAGGTTTTTACCAAAAAAAAAAAGAGAAGATAATATATAAGGTGAATTACACATAAAAAGCTCAATTAAATGCAAATCTTTTTAATATTACTCTTTTGTTGTTATTATTCTATATTAGACATTAGTATACACCTAGTATGATCTTTTTTTCATGAGTGTACCAGAGATAATATGAAGTGCAGTATTACCCACATAGATACAGCCAACCTCAAGCTTAGCATTGTCACCCAAGGCAATGGTTGCAAATTATACAAAACATACATAAGTATAGATACAGATGAAGATTTAAATTAAGATATAAAGTCTCAATCAAACAATTACAAATTTAATAAATTAGGGTTATTCACGTCACTTACTTAAAAAAAAAAAAAAGAGAGGAAAGAAGAATTAACCACATTTTTTGATTCATGTAAGTTTTTGTTGAAATATAAACATATTTTTTAGTACATTGAAGGATTAACTGCTTGTTATGGTAGAGATTTTAAGCTTTCACCTTAATTTCAAATCAAAGTTTTTTTAGTTAAAGTATATAAAATGACAAAAAGTAGATACAAATCATTAACCTATTAACTTCTATAGTCCACCTTTTTATATAATCTCTTGCTTTGAGCCTAATTCAATTATAACTAAATTAAGTGAAATCTTAACCTTTTTTTTTCATTTTTTGTTATGCTTTGGTTTAATCTAGACAAAAACCATATTCAACAAATTTTATTTGAGTCCATTATCATCATGGTTATTAATCAGCTTTATTTAAATGATCAAAATATTATTGTCAAATTCATTGACTCAACTAAAGCTTTTGCTTGGCATGGTTATGATTTTTTATTTTTTATTTTGATTTTTTATAAAATTTACAACTCTAAATAAAAATTAAACCTACAATTACTTTCATGTGTTTTTATAGCATATTACCAAATTATTAAAAAATAAAAACAAAAATAGTTTAATACTATTATATAATTTTTTTTTTCGTAGTTAGAATTAAAATTCTTCTTAAGCAAATTGTTAGTTTTTTCGGTAGTTGCAAAATTTGCTTACTCAAGTGCTAACTAAAGCTACATATTTGGTTATTTGAGTTAATTTATTTAAACCAAAAATTATAACTATACTATGGTTTTGGTTTTGCATTTTTAATTTTGGTTTCTGAAAATTTTGCAACCATTGAAAATAAAAAATTTAGAAATCATAAAATCAAATTAAGAATTTCTATAAATTGAATAAATTTAGAGTTTTGGATATTTATTTTTAAATTTTATACCCACTAAATCAATAATTTTAATTTTTAATTTTAGTTTTTAATTTTTTATTTTGATTGTTTGACTTTTGAAAACCAAAACTAAAAACCATAATTATACTTAACATACCTAAATAACCTACTGTCTCTTCTTCTTTTTTTTTTTTTTTTTTTTGGATGAAAACTAATTTTTAATTTTATTTATTATATAAATGATGATGAATTTCTAAACTGTCTATAATACCATATTTCCTTTGTTCCTTTTTTATTTAACTATTTTTTTATGGGTAGGGATTCAAACTATGTGATATAATTTGTTTGTTACCATTCTTAAAAAAAATAATGAAATTATTTTATAATAGGCCACATAAATGTCACGTAATTAAAATAAAAAATTAATTTTTAATTATAGGTCTTACAAATTTGCTACATCATTTAAAACAAATAAGTTTAAGAAGCATGTCAAGGTAATTGAAACCTTTAAGGTTACTACAAGATAAAATAGAAAGGCTAGGGATCACGGATTTTAGATATTTAACCAATTAGAATCATTAACCACATTAATGATTAATTTACAAATAATAAATTTTGTCCAATTTGGACCTTATTTCATAACCTTATTTGAGTGTAATGAATTCTAGGATCTCAATTGTGAATTTAGTAAAAGTACAGACCTTACTCAATGTTTAGCCAAATTTTAAAATATGTAGTTTTGGATAATTTTGAATACCAACCCAAATTAAACGAAAAATTTTCAATTAATTAGCACTAGTTCTGAATAATGAAGGTGACGACATTTTCCCAAAAAAATGTGTTTGACGGCACAACAAGTGTAATCAATTGAACTTTTCAATTATTAACAACTCTAAATGGATATTTAGTCAATAGTCACTTAGTGTTAACAATGTTAGACCCAACAGTTTTGTCTAATTGTGACTTTATTTGAGAATTTCAATTACTTTAGTGCTTTATTTGAGCAAAATAGAATTTGAGACAATTATGAATTTAGTGAGAGTTTGGAACCTTGTTCATTACTTAAGCCATTGGCATATTTATTTAATTGGATGAATATATCAGCCGCCAAACAAGGAGGCGAAAGGAATAAAATTAGTATTTCAACTAGCTTATTCATTTACATAATATATATATATATATATATATAGTTGTTTGTTTCCCATTTCCTTTGGTAATGTATGGTTTTATATGGTTGGAATTCGTAATTTACTTTGATGAGCAGGAATTGGTAATT